AGAGGGGGGGAGAGAGAGAGAGAGAATTAGAGAGAGAGAAAGAGTAAGAGAGAGAGAGTGACAAAGAGAGAGACAGAGAGAGAGAGACAGAGAGAGAAAGAGAAGTCTCCAACTCCTACACTGTATCTCTACGGGTGCCTTTTGTTGTTTCTTTTCCTTTTGCCAGACTTATCTTATCGAAGTATGGGGCTCTTGACATGTTAATCTCTCTTGGGCTACATTCTACGTGTAAGGTCGTGAGAAAAATGAAAAGGTTTGGGATCTACTGCAGTTATCAGGACACACATACCCCTTTCCCAAAACCCCCTTAATCCTGTTCACAAAATCAGACCCAAAAAATAAATAAAATAAAACAACTAAACAAACTAAGTATATTATACCCCAGCAAACAAAACAACGAAACAAAACAAAAACACAAAAAACAGAAACTAACGAAACAAAAATAAAGTAAACAATTAATATAGCCTAGAAGTGGTTTTCAAAAAAAAAAGAGTACCAACGACTATAGCTTTTGGGCAATTCCACAGTAACAACTGACGGGACATTTGGACTATTCTTTCCCACAATGATAACACCGTAATTCAATATCAGTTAATTTATTTAAACTTTAAATATAATCAGAACATTTGAAAGACATACTTAGAATCATATTAAATGCAGTCATTTGAAAAAAAAAAGTACTTTATACAAATTCTGTGACGTCGTGTTTTATTTTGGCCACTGACAGGACAGAAAACAAATACTTCATTTGTCCCGTCAAATGACTGCATTTAATATTATGATAATTAATATTATTAGGTCTTTCATATTTTCTGATCCTTTAAAGTTGAAATAAATTAATTGGTACTGAATTACTGTGTTATCATTGTAAAAAAAAAGTATAGTCCAAATGTCCCGTCAGTAACCGTGGAAAAGCCCACTTTTAAGCTTGGCAAATAACTTTTCCACGTCCATTAAATACAACTTAACAGACTCGTTAAATGTGATATCCTGACTTGCTATAAGAGACGGGAAGGGCGTAATGTTAAAAAACAACAAATAAAACAGCCCATTAATTATTCACATGCCACTACAGCAAGTGAGACTGCGAAACAGAAATTGTTTCTTTCTATGATGGGTAGTAGGCCTAGTTGGATCATTTGAAGAGAATGCGTGCGTGGCGTATGCATTGTATTTGGGCGAACGTGTGCACGCGTGTGCCTTGTGTTTTATATATATATATATATATATATATATATATATATCTATCTATATATATATATATATATATATATATATATGTGTGTGTGTGTGTGTGTGTGTGTGTGTGTGTGTGTGTGTACGTTTGTGTGTGTGTGTGTGTGTGTGTGTGTGTGTGTGTGTGTGTGTGTGTGTGTGTGTGTGTGTGTGTGTGTGTGTGTGTGTGCGCGCGCGCGCGCATGTTAGGGGGACCGGGAAGTAAAAACATGAAATGATACGAGTATGGGGGTTGAGAGTGTAACATTATAGGTCGGTGATCCTTATCTTTGTACAGAGCACATGCCCGTCATTGTAATGAAACTTGAGCAAAAGTTCTTTTGATAAAAGTAAAGTCTGACCCCCATTGCTAAAACAAGTTAAACTCGTTGAATGGAGGCAATGGATGTGCCTAATAGGTCAAATAAGTTACGAAAAGAGGGATGTAGTTTACTTCTACCTCTGTCAAGAAAGAAGCAGATTTACATTGTTGACTCCATTAAGTTGTATGAAAGGTAAATTTTTATTATTCGCAAAGCTAAAATATAATCTTCAATTTCAGTCTCAAAAGAGTAACGGTTAATGGGTTAGGAACTTTGAACACTGCGTTGTTATTTTTTGTACTCTGTTTTTAGACTTGAACATACATTTTAAGGTCCCTGGTGTCACGCAATATGTTTTCGTCTGCTTCCGTCATCTTGATTTGTACTTTTTAAAATCTTTTCTGCAAAAATGGAAAGTTGCAATGACCAAAACGTTTATGGATTTATTTATTTTTTATTTTGGTTGTCAACCCCCCCCCCCCCCCCCCCCCCGAGAAAAAATGTTCGAGATTGGCTCTAAAGCTAGGAGACAATTTTATTTAGTTGTATTCGTGTTTTATAGATTTATAGAACCCTTCCTTATTTGTGTTTCAGAGATACAGAGGAGAACCCCAGACATGGCGACGTTCCTCACTCGTCTCTTACGCTCGGACAAAGCCGACAAGAAGGAGGAGATAAAGCCAAAGGTAGAAAACCAACGTAAACGCCACACCCCGCCCTGCCCAGAGGGCATCGAGGTTCGAGAAGGTTCCAGCTCCCTGGAGAAGCAGAAGAAAGTGCAAGAGAAACAGCCACCGTTACCGAGAAGTAAACATGCTGAGAGGGTCTTGGCTAGGAGTCGGGCTGCGAAGGCCAAGGAAAAGACATCAAGGAATAAGAATAAGAATAAGAATAAGAAGAAAAACGAAGGTAGAAAGAAGACGTCGGGATTTGCGAATCTATTGTGTATGGGCGGGAATACAGACACCTTGGATAGAACGCCTTTACCGTCACAAGCCTCTGCAAGAGGAGGTGGGGCACAGGGAAAGCGAAACAGAGAACGACCGGACGAGAGCGTTGTCGCTGCGGCAGAGTCATCTCAGTTTTCGCAGAAGTATGTCAAACGTCGTGAGAAAAAGGCGGGTGATGATAAATACAGACACTCCGCCCCACCCCAGGGTTGGAACTATGTGATGGAAAACGGCGTGGTGGGCAACGCTGAGGATGCTTCTCACGCTGCTCATCTTGAGGAACAGCGCAGTCTCACGGCTTCTCCGGCCAGACTCCGGATGGATGGGACGCTGGAGAGACCCTACGTGTTTCCGGGTGGGCTGACCTTCCTGGCCGGGAGGAAAAACGGCAAAGAGTACCGGATACAGTCGTGTGTGCTCACTCCGGAGGAGCAGGCGAGGCGAGACGTGCAAGTCGATGTGCACGACACTGATGATGAGGTAGAAGCTCAAGGATATGATGACTCCAGCAGACGGACAGAGAATGTGACGGAGCAGGGCGAGAAGGAGGATGGAGGAGGAGGAGAGTGGGACCCGAGTAGAGCTTTTTATCTCAAATACGACTCAAGCTACTTATCACCGGACCTCGCCAGTCCTCGAAATAGAAACGCGTTGCCCACCGGATGGAGCGATGACGTCACTTCCTCTCGAGGGGAGAACTCGCCTCGAGACTTCAACTCCATGCACGATTTTAGCACTTCTTATGACATTAACTCTTCGTGGGATTCCCAAGCAGTTGATGTGCCGCCGATGTATGAGACAACGAAACAGGAATCTTCAACGTGTGCCGCTCTCAGTCCGACAACGGAGCAAAAGAAGAAAAGCAGGTACAGCCTTCCCCCAGAAAATATGTCTTACGTCTATATGGGAAGCTTCGAGAACCTGGGCGCTCTGACCGTGAGGAGAGACAAAGAGAATCCTCTCGATGGTGTAGAAACGGAATATTCTAAAAGTAAGAGAAGCGCTTCGAATCATTCCATTGACAAATACAAGAATAATAGCCGTTACAGTCTTCCACAGCGGAATATGGACTTCGTGTATATGGGCAGCTTTGAAGACATCTCCTCTTTCGGTCTGACGTCGACGCTCAGAGAATCAAAACGGAAGAATTTCTGCTTCTCCCTGCCCAACATTTCAAAAACAGACCCTGTTCTGGATGAATTTCCTACAATTGAAAGTAGCAACTTGTTAGGCAGTGAAGAAATGGGATTTGCGTGTGGTGGAATTTCCCGCAATACAAAAGAGGTTGAGACGGGATCAGATTCTGACCCTGCTACACCTCCCAAATTGCAAAATTTGCAAAGCTCTCCAAACACAGTTGCTTCTGATTCCGTTGTAAAAGACACTAACAATACCCTCACCCTCGCTGTGAAAACAGAATCGTCAAAAGACACTGCTGTCGGAGATGGCTCACAAAGTGGTGACGAGGACACGCTAAGCCCACTTTCAGTGACATCACCACGCCGCCATTCCAGTCCATTCTCAAGGAATCTCGGCCGCGCATCTTGTAATCCTGGCAACAAACGGTTCCAGATGGCACCCCCTCCCTGCCATACTCCAGGTACAGCCAAATTGTTCCACTTTCCACCCCCACCGTGTTACACCCCTCCGAAAGAAGAAATGGAAGCAGTTCAGACACAAATCTCGAATTTACCTGATAGATCGTGTCACCAGGGCTCACAGACAGACCTCCACACTGGAAGTGAGGATATAGAGATGGAGGATAGAGACCTCAGTCTAAAGCGCGGTCTTGTCAAACGACTTTCGTCTAGTTTAGAGAATCTGGCGTGGTCTCCTATGTCTCTGCCAAAACCTTTGGTCACGGATATAGATTCTTTCTGTACAGGTGACAGTAATACATTGCAAAGGAAAAAGCCGGAGCAGAAAAAAGAAAGTACTTCCACAGCAAACAATCTCACACATCACTCCGAGTGGCACAATGGAAGCTCTGGTAACAAAATGTCAGTGGTGTGCAGCAACGTTTCAAATGGAGAAATTGCATGCCCTCTGGATAAAAATGCTTTAATGAGTACCAAAAACGTAACAACCTCACAAACAACGAGTATGGAAAGATGTGAAAGCCAAAATGAGACTAACAGAAATAGCATCGTTTCGATAGCGTCCACTCTAAACACGAGACCCGGAAGCAACAGAGCAGCTTTGACGTCAACTCCCAGACAGCCGCGTCGATCAGAGAGTATGGGCGTGTCTTCACAAACTAGAGCCGAGTGGAGACCCACCCCAGCCCCTCGACGTCAGCGTCAGAGTGGCAGTGACTCCGCCCACAGTGACTCCGCTCACACCACAACCGTGGCGGATGCAGCGTTCAATCAAAACACAGCAGACATTTCTCGTCCACTCGCCGTGCCCGTACCGCGAAAGAGGCATCAGCTCAACCTCAAGGCCAGACCTCAAAGCGAAATCCTTAGCCCAACATTTCAGATCACAAACACTGCAGAGGAAAACCCACCTTCTGACACCAGTAGTACTACTTTGCAAACTCTCGCCGAAACAACTGTGGTTCCTACAAAAACGACTCAAAATATAACAGAGAAAGAAACTAACTCTGAAAAGAGAAACGTAAACAGCCACTCATCGAGTACAGACAATACTCCTTTCGGCAACATAAAGTTTTCGACCGTTACGTCCATGAAAAAATATTATGAAAATGTACACCTCCCATCCTCATGTGATACTCAGAAAGCCAGTAGAGAAGTTACCTCGACGTCCAGGGAAATGAATGACCACCACCACCACATATCGTCTTCAGAGAAAGCAAGCTCCTGTCTTTCCGAAATAGTTACTCCCCTAGAAGAAATGACCTTGACCTCTGTTTCCCAAATGGGGTCAGATTGTAAAGAATCACAGATTAATGCCGACGAGGTGCTGAAGTCACCACTGGCGACTAGTGAAGCTGCCCGCTCAGGGGTGGGTAGATTTCAAGGGGAGACGACCGATGACGAAAACTGTGTGGCCGACGACGAAATGAGTGCCCAAGAAGATGACGTCATTTCTGGGAAGAAAAGAGCGAGGGCTGCGCAAGACCTTCTTAGAAGTGGAAGTGTGTTGGACAGGTAGGTTTTTCTGAAACGTAATTTACTAGTGTATACTCGCATGAATAGTAAGTCGATGCAGACAAACCGTTATGGTCCTTTCACTTTCTTCTGTCCACAGTTTCTAGCATTTTTTTTTCAAAATCCCTCCGTTTTATTACCCTCCCGACTTTACACCTGTCTTATTTGATTACTCTCTCTCTCTCTCTCTCTCTCTCTCTCTCTCTCTCTCTCTCTCTCTCTCTTTCTCTCTCTCTCTCTCTCTCTCTGTCAGTCTGTCTCTCTGTGTCTGTCTCTCTCGCTCTCTCTCTTTCTCGCTCTTTTTCCTTCTCTATCTATCCCTCCATACCTCTGACACGGACACAACAGAGAGAGAGGAAGAGAGAGAGAGAGAGAGAGAGAGAGAGAGAGAGAGAGAGAGAGAGAGAGAGAGAGAGAGAGACAAGTCAGGTTACATTAACACATTGTAATTTATATAACCTGATCAGTGAAAATATTAAAAGTATTTTTCCAAACGTTAAAAAACAATTTCACATATCGCCAGCAAGCGCCCATTGGCAGTTAAGGCATTTGAGGTGCAAAAGGACAGTGGCATAATGATTTGAAGTCACTGTTTGTAAAAACCTTCCTTTGGTTGTTTTTAGTTTTAATTGTTAATATTGCATGCACGCAGTTGCAGGATCTAGATCATGTAGGAGGCGGGCTGTTTGAATACTCAAAATTAAAGTAGAATACGGTATCCCAGCAATAAGACGAAGGTACTTGGGAATCGAACTCACTCCTGTTTTTAAGATATTACGCCACGTACAACCTGGATACCTTGATACCTGCAGGGGTCGTCTGTAGATCAGAGGTTGACGTGCAATGACTTGCTCTTGCATACAGTCTCTAGCGGCCTTCATACTCTCTGTCACACGTAGGCCTGTCCAGGTCTTGATGTTATCGATCCAGAAACAATGATAACAGTATTCCTTGTTTGGTTTCAGTCATTTATTTCTGTTGTCTTCCCTTTCGCTACTGACGCATCTATTGTTCCCCTTCTCTTTTGAGGCAATTTTATTTGTTTCTTTGTTTTCTTTGTTTGACAGCTATCATTATATTTTTGTTTGTTTGCAGATGTATATTTTTTTCTTTATTCAAGACTTGGTGTTTTTTTTTTTTGTTTAGTAATTGTTCTTTGTTTTTCATGGTTATAAAATAACATACTCGTATTCTCTTTTCTCCAGGTCCCTCATTCTAGCCACCAAACACCGACTGAGATCTCGAGACCGGAAATGCATGAGCCAAGTGCTCTCACCCACACAAGATGGCGACGTGTTCTTTCCGGAAGGAGGGCCTTCCAGTCGGAGAGTGAGGTGGGCGTTGCCGGAAATTGACAGAACTCGCGGCAATAAGTCTGCAGACTCCGGAACTTACAGGTGAGCATGTCACGAGAACGTAGGGTTTTATTGTAAACTGCCATGACGCTTGAGATGCTTGGTCTTATAAATTATTAACTCTTACAAGTCATACGCCCAGTCCATGCTTTATTGCAATAAGTTTATTTAATTTGAAATATGTTTGTGTTTGCATTTTCAGCTTTAAAAAGAAAGATTTCAAGCTACAAGCATAATATATGTTATTCACCAAATTCTTAGGTCAGAAGAAAGTTTTGATATATTATCAAGAGGACAAAGCTGTTATGCAGGCACACAAGTATGTATGATAGATGAGGAAAATAAGACGAAAAAGTTTCAGCCCACCTCTAAGACGGAGTTAAATGTGGTGGTTGTTGCTGTAGGTGTTTGTTCATCTCCCATCGACACAATGGAACTCCTAGAAATCGGCACATCTATTGATGAGTTTCTGTAGTATTGTTTCTTTCAGTTTGACTAATTTGTCAGGAATATATTAATATATTTGTCTGTATTATAACTGTTTCCTCTTATAGTATCAAATCTTCATTCTTTTCTTTCGATTTTGGTGGGTAAATCTTGCTTGCATCTTAAAATCCATCTTTTTATGCTGAAAATATAAACGTTTTTTATATTATCATTTCAAACTAATCCTACTGCGGCAAAGCAGGGAGTAGGCTTACGATTTGTGAGAGTTAAATCATTTAGAAAACACGCGTGGGTGCTTGGCGGGTACTCTGGTGTGGTTTTCCCCTTCTTTCCTATCAAACATCTAACGTCCGTATGTCTCCTTCTTCATTTTTCTGTTTGTTGCTCTTTTGTCACATCTCTAATGTTAAATAATGCACACGCAGAAACAATAAATGGGATACAAAGAAGAACCTTTCTATGGTATCTTTTAAACACCCGCTGAATCTAAGAGCAAAATAATGTGTTTCGTTACTTTAACCGTAACATGCCTGTATCTGTTTGCATTGGCAGTTACTATTTATTTTATTTACTTTACATAACCATATCCGTACGCCCTGGGGTCATTTTGTACCCCCGGGGTTGTATTCTTCACATTTTAGAATACTTCTAGTACGAAGATCGCTTTAAAACTTTCAGTATTTCTCAAAAATCCATTTTGACAGACTGCTATGCAAAGCGTAGCCTACGGATCGGATTAACGAGTAACTTTCCTCTTTGGAAAGTGGTGGCACAGAGTTCCGCACGTCGTATGGATACGATAGTAAAACACGACGTACGGATGGGGTTAAGTAGTGGCACAGAGTTCCCCTCGTCGAATAGATACGATAGTAAAACACGACGTACGGATAGGGTTAATCTGCCTCGTATACTGTGTGGTGTCCGGGGAGGGGGGACGAGGGGAGTTAGAGGCAAACTGGAAAGCCTTCTGGAGCCGGAAGGCCCCTGACCCAGGTGGTGGACACAGGACAAAAATGCTGGGCTCAGCGAAGTACGATATACGGGCGGTTAGAGTGCGCCACTCGTAGGTCCTACTCTTTTAATCTCCCTGTTGTTTCTGCCTGACCCTCTTCCTTTTCCCCAGGACTAAACTGAATTACCATTATTGTGTGGGTTTGCTTCTCTTTACTTAAACAAACAAATTATACACCCTTGGGGGTCCAAAATCAATAAGAGTAGGCTTCGGCCGCCACCTGGGCAACATTCAAAATGTCCTACCAACTGAAAAAGTGTAATGTGTCCCGCGCGCTCATATGACCTTATGCAGTTGCGAGCGCGTAAAACACTTTTTAAAAAATAATTTTAAAAATACACAAACAAACCAGAAGTTCAAAGTGGTGAGACTTTCGCCGTAAGTCAGAACATGGGTCACTCTGAAACATTGCTGGCTAATGGGGCTCCGTAGAAACCATGGCTGGCCTAGTAAGCCGAGGGTGGATTTTCTAATTGCTCAAGACAATGAACGGATTCACTCTTCAACCGCCCCTAATAATCAACCTTTTTTGTTTTGTTACTTTAATCCTCCAGTGATTTCAACTCACCTTGTGCCAGCCCTGACGCCATGGGTTTCACCTTCCCGTCTGACTGCAACACCTTTTCTGATGACGTCACAGAAACCCGCGACGACGATGACGTGAGAGAGTCCCGCCTAAAGCGTCAGAGAAGCGTCCAGCACAAGTCGTGGGAAGTTCGCCTGAGAAAACGGCACTGGTTGCGCCGAGCGGTGTCGGGGGAGGATTTGAGCCGTATACCTTCTGAGATTGTCTGTGGAGAGGATGGTACCTTGGAAACCTTGGTTTAAACCTGGCATTACTCTGTTTTTATAGTTTTTGTTGTGAAATATTAATTGTAAATAGGTACGCTAATTTTGGAATGAATTACGTTAATGTTAGACTATAGCAAAGGTATGTTTTGTTCTTGTAAATTTACTGGCATGCTTCGCTCATTCTGTAAATTAAATCGCTATCAGCCTGATCAGCTATTTCAAATTATGCTTTATTTACGGCTTATTGAATTGATCACCATTCCGACAGTAACTTGAAATCGAGCTGTATACCTTTTCATGACCTTCAAGAAGTTTACCTCTTAGTTTGTTTTAGTTTTAGTAGAGGTTTCACGGCGCTCGCAACTGCATATGGTCATATGAGCGCCTAAAGATTAGAGGTGTTACAAGAGAGTAACTAACATAAAAAAGAAGGAGGACAGATAAGGACGATAGATGTTTGATATCAAAGAAGAAGCAAACCACACCAGAGCTCCCGCCAACTACCCACAGTTTACCTCTAACCTTCCAAGCTAAAGGCATTTGTTGTGATAATATGCACTTTTGTAAATGTTCAATATCCAAAGTCAAGAACAATTTTGTCAACGGTATCAACTAAATAGATTTTAGATTATCTTCACAAATTTTACGGGTGGTTGAGGGGCGTCACTGGAAGGTCCTACTTCTTTATTTTCCCTTTGTTGGGTAGATATTAGAAGTCAGTTTGCCCCCCCCCCCCCCTTTTTTCCAGAACCCCCATTCTTAAAAGAGTGAGAAATTAAAATAAATTTAAAAACTGACTTTAGTGCATGACGTCTCGACGACCCATATGTTGTCCCACAGAAACTGGAGATGCGGGATTTGCGAAGTAGGTCAAACACGTTCCTAATGGAGGCTCAAGTGCATTTTTACTCTCATTATTACGTTTAGTTTCCAACGTTTGCTGTTGAAGTCTTCACGTTATTCAGTATACAACCTATTTATTTTAAAAGCTAACTACCGCTATATTGTTAATATAATAGATGCTTGGGGATTGGTTTGATGCTCTAGAACTAGAAGAGAGGAAATCTCAATCCCGACTCAACTTGTAACGCTCTGCACTGTGGTAATCTTTTCTGCAACAAATGTAGTGTCATCTGTAGCATTCATAAATGTGATTTATAAAATCAATGTTGTTTAAAGAAACAAGCTATCCTGTTTTCAAATCTGGTTCTTACTTACTTCTTTTCCTATTTCACAATAATTATTTGTTATCCATATTTCCTCAACCTTACTTCTCAGTCCCATTGTCAAGTTTTAAAAAAGTCTTTAGTCTAAGATCCCGTTTTCCCGTCTCTTCGTTGAAGAAAAATCTAAGATTCATTTGTACATGGCTCTGTTTCCCTTACCCCCCCCCCCCCCTCCCCCTCATCTTGAAAAAAAAACGTTTTTACTTTTTTACCTTTTTACTCTATTACACATGTACAAGTATTGTATTTCTTTTAATGTCATTATGTATGTCCGTCCCTCGTTTTCCTAACTTTTCCTCTCATTACTCGTCACACTACTATTCTGTTTCTCTGACACTGACATATTGACATAAACACAAGGTATGATGCAAAACTCGTCCATTTGTCTGTCGAAATTGTTTGATACATTACAGGTTTCAAGAATGTATAGTTAACACAATAGGAATGTGAAAAGACTAATTTTCTGTAAATCAGTCTTCCAACGGTTTACAAATAAATCGCTTTATTCAAAATACAATGACTTTTGGGATTTGATGTGTATGGTTTCCTTTGTTTGTCTGAAGTGTGCCAGACAAAACTGAAAATGAAATTTCTTGAGAATAATGATGTCAACAGGAAAGAGGATACATTTGGCATGGCATCGGTAGCCTAGCGGTTAGTTTACCGGACCCGTAATCGTGAGATTGGTTCCTTATGCGGTGTTATAAAACAGCATCGGAAAGGGGAGGGGGATACCATTTTATGTGGGGTATCCCCCCCCCCCCATCGACATAATTTAGGGGGCGGGCTTCTGACCCTGCCTGTCAGGACCAACACGGGCTAAGAGAGAGCAGCCTTACAAAAAGACCAAGATACCTGATAAAAATGTCCTTACCGGTCGGGGAATCGAACTTGGATCTGCTCTGCCGTCGTAAGGGAAAACGACGAATGGTCAAAAATTATCGATTTTTGTATTTTTATATATTTCATAGAGTATTTCATTCTGCATCTGATGGTGTAAAAATTTTTGTCCTATCCTAATCCGTTGTTGCGTAATTGAGAGTTTGTCGTTTTCCCGTACACTGGCGAAGAGCTCAGTGTAAGGGAGAACGACGAATGGTCGATCGGTCAAGGATCACTGCTTGTTCGGCGTTGTCCCCTGGTCTCTGCCGTTGGGCAAATTTGGCTTGGACGACGAATGACAACTGGTCACTGTTGCGTCAGTACAAACATATTAGGGTTTTTTCAAACAAACACAGCATCACCCCCTCCCCCGGAAAACCGTCGACCAAGTTTATAAGAATGTATCACTTAGTGTGTCTTTCTGTCTTCAGGTATATGTATTAGGCCTATGCTGATTGTGTGAATTGAGAAGAGCAGGCGGGAGAGAGGGGAAAACGGATGGGAACAGGGGGAAAGGGGTGGGAATGGGAGGGTCAAAAAAGTATTAAGGGAGAAATTTATTAGCACTGCATATCAATGTCCGCCAGATGTTCACAGACTAACGTCATGTTACTTTGCTGTCCAGTCATTTGACATCCCAAATCCCAACGATGGTTATAGTGCCGCAATTAGTCCAGCACGTGTCACTGGTCGACATCATTATAGAATTACCAAGCAATTAATGACATTGCGTTATGAGAGTAAATTTCTTTGTCCAGCTTAAAAAGTTGACGTATTGTGGCGACACTTAGTCTTGCTTTACGATTTTTTATGACTTGATGGACTTTACGATCGAGTATAATATTGTCTTGCAGATTCAAACTGTCCTTGTCGATCTGTCCTTTGTGGTATGTTTTCCGATCAACTGAATTCTTTATTAAACATAAAGCGTTGCATTACCTCTCCCAAAAGCGTTTGTGAAACAGTCTTGTCAGATTGTTACATTTCTTACGTGAAAGTTTGCCTTTGCAATGATCTGATCGTATTTATTGACATTGTAACATTGTTGATCCCTTTGGTCGTGCAGGGAAAATTTTTCAATTAGCGAAAATAAAAGTAAAACTCGCTTCTGAAGAGAATACAATAAAGAGATATTATGGAGATCAAACTTTTGTTCTGAATGAGACAGTTGACAATCAAGCTGTTGAAAATGTGCGCACATCTGATTTGTACGCTGACTGTAGTATTTAACCAAGCGGGGAAGGCAAACGAAGGACGTTTACCGAGTTACAGTTGGGATATAACAAAAACCTAACTTTATACGTAAAATAATAGCTAGTTTGTATACGTTTTATTTTTATTTGTAGTAACCAGTACACAGTCATTACTGTCAATAATGCGTCACAACTGACCATCGCCTACTCCCATAAACGTTCACGAGTGTAAGGGAGAACGACGAACCGTACCATTCGTCGTTTTCGCGTACATCGCAAGGCTCACCTGCGGGTGCGCAGTGTAAGGGAGAACGACGAATGTCGAATAACTTTGCTACTTTTTAACCTAAACCATTCAAACTTTAGAAACTGCATTATGAACATCCCATTCAGATATCTGGTGAATTACAGCTTAAAAGAGTGAAAAATAGAAGAGTTATAAAGTGAAAACTGTTTTTGCCTCTCCTGAAAAATTTGCCTCGCTACCTGCGCAGGACCATTTGCCGTTTTCCCTTACGACGGCAGTGCTGCTTGCGACGGCAAAGCGCCTAACGGCAGTACCAAAAGACGCTGCTAGTGAAGGTACTGTCAGTCAGGTCAGTTCTCACTATTCTTGACTGCCGCACTTTGGCTCGAATCGCCGACGGGACGTTCTTGAACATACCTTGTTTGTCATTCGACCATCTAGACTTGGTTCTGTTGTAATTTTAGACGCTTACGGTAGTGTTTTGAATAACATAACTACATTGTATAAAGCTCTCTGTCAATGTAAATGGATGGAACGGATTAGAGAAACTGGTGCTGTGTGGAAAGACAGAAGGCAAGAAGAGCAGATGAAGACAAAGAACAAAAAAACAGATGGCCTGAACAACTGTAAGGGAAAATTTGAGGAAGAATAGGTCAGATAGCGGTTCCCACACCCTAGGTAGATTGAAAGAGAAGGGGATCCAAATAGGAGAAGGGAAACACAGCCACCTGTGCGGACCAGTCGGACGGATCTCCAATCAGATTATGATGGAGACTGTAAGCAGACAGACTCTGGGATAGATCCTGGCGAGGGGGGGGGGAGAGCAGAGATGGACAGGTTCCGACTGTAGTGACCCCAACACTGTGGACAAGGTGTGACAACTTTGCAATGAATAACACAAACAGAAAAACCGAGCTGATTAAGAAGACAAACAACAGGAAAGAATTGGGTACAATGATTGTTAATCTCTGCTCCAGACCTGACACCTGAAGAAGAAGACTATGGGGAAAGAGGCTACTATAAGCCTCTAGTGTGAGTGTGGTGTAGTTGTTCAGAAAAAACTGATCTTACAATGGATGATTTTGTTTTTTACCCCTATCGACACACATTTTGTTATTAACCCTGTCCGTACGTCGTGTTTTACTATCGTATCCATACGATGTAGGAAACTCTGTGCCCCTACTTTCTAAAGAGGAGAATTACTTGTTAATCCGATCCGTACGCTTTGAATAGCGGTCTGCCACAATGATTTTTTGAGAAATACTCAAAGTTTCAAAGAGATCTTCGCCCTATAAGTATTCTAAAGTGTGAAGAATACAGCCCCCGGTATGCAAAATGACCCCAGGCGTACGGATAAGGTTAAGGAGGGTGGAGGCTTCAACCCTGCCTGCCAGGACTTGCCTAGGCGGATGACTCGACGTACCGGCAAAAAGATTACATACAATGTGTAAGCGATATAAAGGTTTCTCAACACAGCAATCGAACTCTCGTCTTCTGGTAGCAGCGGTGAGCAAATCGACTAATTGCTACATGAAAGACGTAAATAAAATATGAAAAGACTTACAAAATCGATAGCAGTTTCAGACTGATATCTTGTTCCTCTGCTTTTCATTTCGTATTTTTCTTCACTGCTGAGAAATGGGGGTGGGCGGGGCACTTTTGTTTTTATTATCTCTGTAGAAAGGGAGGCAGTAGTATTACAATATCTTACGGTTGTATAGCAGCCTGTAGTTACGATTTCTCACGACAATAAACAAGGTCGAAAAAAAAACAACAGCAGGTCTGTGACATATTACTGTTGAGCACAATTTGTAAATTAGAGTCTTTAGACCAACACTTTCATTATGGACTGGATAATGATGACTCGAATAAACAAATAGCATGTACACTTGAGGTTTATCCATCTTTTTTGTTTCAGGTATCCTCAAGGCAGGGTGTACGTTGAAGCAGATGAGATATCAAGACTTGGTGTTTTCGTATCAGATTATATGGAGAAAGGGGGGGGGGATACAACTATGTCGGCTTGTATTCGCAAAAGAGAGAATAATAATGCCATTTAAGCGAAATTTTATAATAAGCATAACATGCCAACAGCGATGTGTATTTTTTTATTTTTTTTTAGGGAACGGGAATTATATAGGAAAGGGCGGATAAGCGAAAGGGAATGGAGTAGGAAGAGGGAGGGAGTAGGCAAACATGCGCCAGAATACTTTTCAAAACCCGAATTTGGAAAACTGTTTTGTTAATGATAACATAGAATTAATTGTGATGTGTGGTTGTAGCTAGTAAGCTGTTATCTATAATTTACTCTTAAAGCAATTTCAACTTTAGATAAATGATAACACATGTAGAAAGGCAGTTGTTGTTATCGATATATGAAGAGAAATGAGCTTTTATGTTGACTTATTTCTAAAGCACGTTTACTTCTATTATACGTTTACTGTCTTGGATGCTATAGTGTATCCCGCTGTTGGTCTTGCTACAGCACTATGAAACGTTTACATGCCTTTGTAAAAAAAAAAAATAAGCGGTACGAGATTTGAACAATACGAGAGTCCGTCTCTTGACTTTCAGACGAGTAATATGTTTGTTGAAGAATTTTATCTTCTTTAGGCTCCGTG